CGGTATGGCCTCCTGAGTAGTGATATCTCCAATCTTCTTGGACTCATCCCCCTGAGGAGTCCACTTGCGGGGTGGACGAAACGCGTCGGGGAATTGCCGCGTTAATGTGGTTTTTGTGATGATTGATATTGCTCTGTTATTTGAGCTGCGCGATTTTCGTACGTATATATATGCGTGTGTGTTGGAGCGTTTTTACTTTGAGAATCTTTGCTATCCATCCTCATGCGTCCGTTGTTTGTGTCGGGTAGCTTGGTCTCTTCATCTCTCATCTCATTGGTAACTCTTGTGTTGTATAATGTTGTGTGTATGCGTTTATATATGGGTTGTGACAAGACACTTCCTGCATCATGCTGCATGCCTAGTGTGCATCCGTAGTTTGTACAAACCTCTTTACAGTTTACATAGTGTCGCTTGGGGTCCTTTGTAGTAGGAGTTTAGCTCTTATGTTTTCTCGTACCCCCTTTGGGACTGAGTAGTTATAGATCAATCAGTAAATTATTAAATTCTCTTAAAATTCTCGTAGTCAAAGCTAAGTAATGCCGCCGGTATTTCAATTTATTTTGTATACTGGCACAAGGGACGTTGGGCATAGTTCCCAACATGTGTTGCTCCCATGACGTAAAATAAGGCATGGATTGTGGTTGACAACAACATGAGGATTAGGAGCGACAACAGGGAAGAAGCCTACTTGCAAGGCGTCGTGCACATATTATAAACAAAACCAAGATATATGAGATATAACCTAATGCAACTACGACCAGCTCGTCCACGACTCTAAGTCGATCATAGGCATAAGAGATAAAGTCGTGCATATGCTAGTCAAGATAGAGGATAGCAGAAGACCCATTATGGGAACAGAAGGCGTGCTTACCACAAATTTATGAGAATAAGTAACGTGATTAGGGCAAGACTAGGTTCAAAGTGGGGTGGCGAGGTAAGTGGGAAGTGCCCCTACTGGGTTCGGGGCATGTACGGTTGAGACTGACCCTGACCAGGTTGACCAAGTGAATGTGTGGAGTGAAAAAGTGATAGTGTACGATGTATTAAGGGAGAAGTGAGTGTGTGGCGACTCACACCTGAGTCTAAGTTTGAGGAGGACATTGAGTGACTTTTGAACTTCTCTCGAAGAAGGCGAACTTGGTGATGAAGTAGCATGACTGCATGACTACTAAATTGTATATTGATCTTCAACAGTGACATGAGCCACGGG